ATGTTCCCATCCAGAGACCTCGCTCTAAAAATCAGGGTCTTGCTGTCACAGCGCAGGCCCGGGGCTGCCTTCTGCTGGGAAGTCTCCGGGGCGGCACAAGCACCTGGGCCCCAGGCGCCTGTGAGTGCGGCTGGTGGAATCTGGGCGGCGGGTGCTGAGAGCTGTCCCGGGGCCTGGGGCTGTGTTCTTGGCGTCTGTCTGGGAATCGGCCTCGCCTGGGGGCTGGACCTCGGGGGCAGAGGCGGGTCACAGTTGGGTCCCCGCCATTTGGGGGGCCTGGTGGCTGTGTGCCCCTGTTCAAGGATGGGCCACGGAGGGCGTCAGGGATGTGAGGGGCGGGTCCCAGTGAGGGTGCCTTCGTCAGTTATCTTAATCTGCTTTGCTTTTGCGTCTTGAGCCCCAGAATTAAGTGTTTAAAATGTCCTAACGTTAAAAAGTAAATACCCCTAAGTAGCTGGAGTGTTGTGTTCTAGAAGGTAAACTAGTTGAAGTAGAATAGTTTTAACCAGGGAAATGACTGGATTTGCCGGGGAAAATTAAGGAGTAGGTTTCTGGCTTTGTCCAGAGATTCCTTCAGCAGGTTGGGATGAAAAGCCTTGCAAGGGGCAGAGCGGGTAGAGCTCCTCCCCGCAGGAGACGGACCTCGGTGGAGCTCTGCCCACGGGATCACCACCTCGTGTCGTTCTGTGAGCAGCGCGACCTCAGACGGGCGGGGTCTGGAGGGCAGCGGGAGGCCACACGCTCTCTCTCCCCGCGGCCGGTCGGGCTGCTCCCCGCTGACTCTTGGGCACAGCAGCTCGGCCGCCAGACCAGGCCGTGAGGCCGTGCCGCCCCCTCCTCCATGGTTCAGTCTCGCTTCTCGAGGGAGGAGGGGGCCTTCTTCTAAAGCGTCAGTCACGTCTGTCCCCTCCCGTCAGACCCAGCAGTCCCTGTCGGGCTGTTTGGCCCTTCTTAGGCCAGGTTGCCAAGACCAGGGCGCGGAGCTGGGCTTCTCTCGGCGCCGGCTCTGGCTGCGGGCACGCACCCACTGGGAGCCGCACCCCCGCACCACAGTGTCTGCAGAGACCTGGCTCTGCTGCCCGGCTCCGGCTGGTCTGCTGCCCGGCGCAGCTCTCCACCCGCCCCGCTCTTAGCGGGCAGCTGGGCTCGGTCCCCTGTCTGTCCCCTCGGGCAGGCTGTGCCTCCGGGCCGTTCCAGGAAGCTGGCCGCTGCCGCTTCCAGGCAGTGGTGCTGTGGCGCTGCCTCGCTGGCTGCCGGGCTGCAGCGTGTGGTCGGAGGGAGGGGCCGCTGGGCCCAGGCCCTGGGGGTTGAGAGCACAGCCGCCTGGCCAGGTCTCCCCTGAAGTGTGGGGGGAGGGGGTCCTGTTGCTACCACTCGCCTGTGTCTGTGTGGCAGTCCTGCACCACCTGGCCCTTTCCACCTCCCCCACTTGCCGCTCAGCTCAGCGTGCATTTCCTGTGTGTTTTCAGGTATTTTATGCTCTAAGTGAGTTTTTTGTAGCCAAGGTGCATTCCTGCATGCTTCCCTCCCGCCTCTTTCTGGGCTTGGAGAAGGCACGGGCCGGTGAGCTGATCGGCCTCCGCCGTCAGCATAGCAGAGCTTCTGTCGAGTCTCTGCAGCAGGCGACTGACAGAACTCCCTGGTCGGGGCACCGACACGCGTCTGTCGTGCACACCGCCCAGCCCTGTCCGGCTGTCCTCCCTGTCCCCCGAGCGTGGGGAGCCCCTGGCCATCGGTGGTGTGATGACGAGCTCTGCGGTCCTCGGGTGGGCGCAGAGCCCCGCAGCGGCCTGGCCTTGCGCAGGAGGGGACCTAAGGCCCGGACTGCTGGCCCAGCCCCTCCTGCTCCTCCTGCTCCCTCTGCGCTCGCCCTGCGCAGCCCTCCACGCCCCGCCCCCCCCTTTGGAGTGGCCCCTCTAACGTGAGTCCTTCGCGCTCCCCTCCCGAGGCCAGTCTCTCCCTCTCGCGTGCCCGCCCTGCGTTGCTTTCTGGGGGGCACTTAGCCCGGCCAGACCCAGTCTGCCTGCCGGTCCCCTCCCCCACTTGCCGGGGAGGGGGCTGTGCGAGAGCAGGAGCTTGGGTTCCATCCCTAGTCGCCCAGGTGCGTGAGCTGTCTGGAAAGCAGGTGCCGGGACCCCTCGCCAGGAGGGCGGGCGTGTCCGGTGCTCCTGCTCCCGGAGGAGGCCATGGGGGGCGCAGGGTTCGGTTCTTGGCTCCAGCAGATGCGTCACAAGGGTCCAAAGTAACGCGGGCTCACTTTAGCCCCCTCGCTCAGGGGTACGTTCGTTCCCATTTTGGTGTTACCTTTCTTTGTTTTTTTTTAATGCTCAGAAACGTCTGGTAGCTGTGGTTCTCACTCAAATGCTAATAGCTCACCACGCCGGAGGCTCAGGAATTCAGGGATGACATTCGAGATCTGTGCCCCCTCAGGTCCCACCCTGGTAGCACTGTGCTTGAAACTACATTCAGGCTGCACCTGCCACCAGCCACAAAGCCCGTGAACCTGTCCGGGGCGGCTGTGCTCAGGAAGCGGCGGTTTCCCAGAGCAGGCACGGCGCCCTCTAGTGTCAGCCTCTGGGGCGTCCGGTGCTTGGGATCTGGGTACCCGCCGGCTTGAACTTTTATGGGTGGGATGAGGGGAGGAGGGCTCCTCCCACCTGAGCCCTCCACGGGCGCCGGGGCCCTACTGGCACGGCAGCCGGGCCGCAGCAGCAGCAGCAGCAGCAGCCTTCCCCGGGCCCCAGGAGGGAACAGAGCATTATTGCTCCTTCACAACCAGTAGAGTTGCCGTCCTTTAGAATGGAGTGTGTGGGCCTGCCAGAGATGACAGGCTCTTCTCCGTCCCCTCTCTGCAGCTCGGGGGCCGGGCGGCTGGAGCTGGACTGCGGGGTTCCAGGGCCGGCTCCGCCGCCCGGGAGCTGTAGTCCGCACCGGTGGTGCTGCTACTTCGGCCCCAGCAGGAGCCCCCGTTCCTCCCGCACCTGGGGAGCGGTGTCCCACAGAGTGGGCACGGAGCGAGGGACTGCACCCAGGCTGCTGTCCCGCGAGCTGTCCCGGAAACCAGCACGGCCGCCGGGGCAGGGACGTGGTCCGCAGGCTCCACGGGGGTGCCTTCTCAGGCGTCCCTTTGCCGACTGCCGCAGCTCACGCCAAGAATGACCTCCCCCCCACCCCACCCAGCACGACGGTCTCCCTCCTTGAATGTCCTGGGGCCGCACCTTCTGGCGTCTGGGGCAGGTCGCAGAGACCCGAGTCTGACTCGAGGTGGGCTGGCGCTGAAGACACCATGTCCCAGACCAGAGACTCGGGGCCCCCGGGGGTTCCGGGGAGAGGGGATGTTCTTTGCATCAGAAAAGTGCCACCGATGGGCCACCACCACAGCCTCGGCAGGAGCCCCAGGGCCCCGCACGGTCTCCTGGGATCCCTGAGCAGAGCTCAGGGCCTAGGGCTCAGAGAGCCCCCTCTGCTGGGGCTTGGTGTCCGGCAGAGCCGTCACAGCCAGTGCTCGCTGAGCACGTACCCTGCGCCCCACGCCGCCTTGTTAGTCCCCTCCCCCGCTCCGAGATGGCCACCGTCACCTCATTGTACGCCTGCGGCCGTGCGCAGTCAGTCTGAGGTTTCGGAGCTGGCGCATCCGAGTGTCTGGCTCAAGGACCCCCGTGCCTAACGCCCGGGCTCGGTCTCATCCGGTTCACGGGCTTATGTTCCCGTAGGAAAGTCTGACTGCTTGTGGGTGGCTGGGCCCGCTGCTCCCCTGCATGTTTTGTAAGTCCCAGTCTAGTTCTGGTGGAGCTGGCTTCAGTCGTCACTGCCAAAATGTCAGTGACCTTGAGCCAGTGCCCGGGTCTCCTGCTCTGAAGGTCACCTTTCCATGCCCCAGGGCTGGGGACTGGAGAGCATGTTGTTGGAGGGAACAGCCTGTCCACCCCGTGGTTTGAGGACTTGCAGGTGCCCGTCCGTGACTCGATGGGGAGCTTCAGAGGAAGGGCCCCGGGCTGGGGGGGCCAGCAGAGCGGCCTGGCTGGCCTGGCGGGGGACGTGTCCCCCCTGGGCTGTGGGAGGGGCGTCCAGTGCCCAGCAGAGGGAGGGGGCCGCCCTCCTGAGGCCCCAGCTGTCCTCTTGGAGCAGGGCGGCCGCTGCGGGGTGTTTGGGGAGGGCGAGTCAGGTGCTCACCGTGCGGCTGGCCGGGCTCCCAGAGCCGGCCGACCCGGGTTACTCAGCCGCCTGCAGGGCTCCGCGGCTCGGCAGATAAGGGGTGGGCTGCGGCTGGCGGGACCGATAGCCTGGATTGGAAGGTGGCGTCGGGCGATAGCTGGCTGCAGGGCGGCCCAAGTGACCCGCACAGCCTGGCGCCACGCCCCTCCTCCGCCCACTGTCCCCTCGGCCCACGGCCCCGGGCCGGGGCAGGGGGCGGGTCGGGGCAGGCACTGGCACAGAGGAGAAAAGGGATTTCACTCCCAACAAAGTGTGTCGCTCTCTGTAGAACAGGCTCTTAAATCTTTAGTGTAAATGATGTTTTACGTGACCTGTCATGTAGCCACCGTTGGGTCAAAATGACCCCCGTTAACCTAGGGCAGGGGTGTCAAAAAAACTCATTTCCACCGAGGGCTGCGTCAGCCTTGAGGTTGTCTTCAAAGGGCTGAACGTGGTTTTAGGACAGTATAAATGTACAACTGCTCCTTAACTAGGGGTGAGGAGCTGGCCGCCGCCGCCGGGCAGAAACAAGGTGGAAGGCCAGGGCTGGACTCGGCCGGCGGGCCTGCGCCTGCCCCCGGTGGCCCAGTGTGTGCTTCCGGTGGGGGAGCCAGAGCCGGGAGCTCCGAGGTCTCTCGGTCTGGCTGCCGTGAGAGGGTGTGTGCTCGTGAAAACCCACCTCAATGCTTAGGGTCTGTGAGATCTCCAGGGGGCACTGCTCCCGGGAGGCTGGGACGGGTGGGTACACCCCGTGGCCACGCCAGAGAGAGGCCAGTCTCTCAGGCCCATGTTGTTTTCTCGTCCAGCTGAAACTGGAGGACCGCTCCGTGGTGCCCCGGGACGTGGTCCGGCACATGCGATCCACCGTGAGTCCTGCATCCCAGGCCCGGCGGGGGCGGGGGTGGGGGGGGGCTCCCGGCAGGGGGCGGGGCCAGGTCTCCCGCAGTGGCGGCCCAGGGGCCCGCTCAGGCCCGGGTGTCCCCCGCAGGACAGCCAGTGCGGCACCGTGATCGACGTCAGCATCGACTGCGCCGTCAAGCTCGTCGGCACCAACTGCATCGTCTACCCTGTCAACAGCAAGGACCTGCAGCACATCTGGGTGAGTCGCGCCGCCGCCGCCCCCCCCCCCCACAACCCCTGTGCTTCGGGTCTGTGGGTGGGATGTGAGTGTGCCCCTCTGGGGTCAGAGGCCGAGGGCAGGTTCCTCCTGCTCCCTGGGGCTCCCTGGGGCTCCCTGGGGCCCTGCCCTGGAGACGGGAAGCCAGGCCTGCCCTCGGGGCTCTGGCCCAGCACTGCAGCAGGGGTACTTCCCCTCCTCAGGCTGCTTCTCCCCCCCAGGCTGCTTCTCCCCACCCCAGGCTGCTCCCCCCCCCCCCCCAGGCTGCTTCCTGCTCCAGCAGCCTCTCTCTCATTTAGGCAAGCTTCTTTTCAGTCATGCATTTTTTGATGACTTCACACTTCCCGAAAAGTTCTTGAGCCCCAGCCTCCTCGCTGGCCGTCAGCATCACCCTCCTTCGCTCCGTCACCCGGCCCCTCCCCCGCCTCGCCTCCTCTCTCCTTGGCCTTTTCCCCTCAAATCCCTTTTCCCTCAGGCATTTGAGAACAAGCTACAGATAGGATGCCCGATGGCCCCTAAATGCTACAAAGTGTCTTCCCCCAAATCAGGAGCATTCTCCTGCATAACCACCATCCCCCCAAATTAGGGGATTGGGGCACCGCTGTCCGATCCACAGGCCCCGTTCCATTGTCCCAACAATATTCTTTTTTTTTTTTCTAGATTGTTTGTTTATTTATTTTTAGAGAGAGGAAGGAAGGGAGAAAGAGAGGAAGAGAAATGTCAGCGTGTGGTTGCCTCTCACGCCCCCTACTGGGGACCTGGCCCGCAACCCGGGCATGTGCCCTGACTGGGAATCGAACCAGCAACCCTTTGGTTCGCAGGCCGGTGCTCAGTCCACTGAGCCACACCAGCTGGGGCCCACCGATATTCTTTTCCCCATTCTGAGCCAGAATTCCGTTCAGGAACACACTTCCTGTTTACTGGTCAGCTCTTTGGTGTCCTCTTTTCTGGCCGCCTCCCCAGTCTGGCCTTGCCGTCCAGGTCCCGCCACGCCCACCTCTCGGCCCGCAGTGGGGAGCCGTCTGCAGCCGGCTCCCCTCCGGCCTCAGGCCCGCGCCCGTGGCGGGACGGCCCGGAGTGCGGCCGAGTCCTCCTCTGGCCCACGGCGGCCAGTGGCGGCTGCAGGGCCACGTTCACCGCGATCCCCGGACGCGCTGGCGTCCTCCGCGTCTCCCCACCGTGAAGTCACCTTGTGCCCCGCGGCAGACAGTCCCGTTTGGTGGGGGGACGTCCCGGGGCCACGTCAACGGCCCGTCACACGGCTGGCCCCAGCCTGGGTGGCGGCTGCGTGGCTCCCCCGCCCCGTCCTGGTCTTGAGGAGCGGGCTCCCGCCGGTCCCTCGGGTCACTCGCTCGCTTTTCCCGTCGCTCCGGGCTCGGGGGCCCCTGTGCTGTGTGGTTTGTGGTCCGTTACCACCGGTGCTTGTTTGTGGGTTTGTTTTCTATGCGTGTCCTATTAGCGTTTATTCAACTTGACTCCCACAAGTCCCAGCTTGGAGACAGCCCAATTAGCCATTAGCTGGTGAATTAATAAACAGGTCCGCCATTTGTGTTGTTGCTGAAACGGTCCCCGGTGTGGCCGGCAGGAGCCCCTTCAGACTGGCCTGTGCCCTTTCCACGGTCTCCGCCATTTCTCTCCTTGGCCCTTTCCTCCTCCCCGTGCCGCGCTTCTTCGGGTCCAGCCCTGGGACCGGCCGCTCCTCCCGGGAGCCCCGACTCCTCCCAGAGGAGGGCGCCAGGTTCAGAAACCGAGGCGTGGGTGGGGGCCGGGGTGCTGGTGGCCGCCGGGCCCATGTCAGGACAGACAGACAGACATACACGTGTGTGTGTGTGCGCGTGTGTTTGGAGAGACACCCAGCTAAACTGCCCCCACCTGCCCCACGTGTGCCCTGAAGTGTGAGCCCGTGCGGGAGCCCCTGGTCCCTCAACCACGGCTCCCGGGGTCCTCAGCGCGTTTGTTCGTTTGCTTCCGTGCCCTGACCTCCTCGTCCGTGTCACCGACCTCCACGTCCACTCTCACCCCGGGGTCCCGTCTCCTTGGATGGCACTGGGCTCTCCGTCACCCCCAGGCAGCGCCATGCCTCCTCCCCACACTGGGTGGGAGGGGGAGTTGGGGGGTAGCTTGAAAAACTGGGGGGCAGCCTGCCGCAGCAGTTGCTTAGGTGGTTCTGCACAGCCAGTCCGGGCAACAGGCTGTCTAGACCCTTCCTCCCCGCCCGGGTGGGCCGAGGGGCAGCGCCCTGGACTCCGCTGCCGCCCGCCGCCCCTCACGCCCCTGTGTCCTGGCCGCAGCCCTTCATGTACGGCGACTACATAGCCTACGACTGCTGGCTGGGGAAGGTGTACGACCTGAAGAACCAGATCATCCTGAAGCTGTCCAACGGCGCCAGGTACGCGGGGCTGCTGCCGGATGGCGGGGGGTGGGGAGGGGTTCACGGGCCTGTCTGTGGTCACAGGCTTCTTCCACCAGGGCCCGGCGCGGTGCCGTGGGCATCTGGGGCCTGACCCCGGGCGGGTCTTCTTATTGCCAGAGCATGATGCCCTCACTCAGTTTCCGGCCTCTGCGCTGTCTTGTTTCGGGGGGCGGGGGGTGGAGCGTTACAACTTGGGGTACCTGCGGGGAGCTGGAGCTCCATTTAGACGTTTCAACGGTGCTGAGCGCCCCGACCCTGGGTCAGGTCTTGTTCGTGCCGGGAGAGCCGTCGCTGCCGGGTCAGAGGCTGGGCTGGGGGTGCAGGAGGGGCTGTACCATTTCGGGGCGTGTGCCGCACCGGGGCCCCTGGGGACTCCTTGTGGACCTGAGCGGCCCCACCGCTGGTCCTGGCTGCCGCGCCCCTGAGGCCCGGCCACGGGCCGAGTGGAGACCGAGCCCGCGTTCGCTCTGCAGGTGCTCCATGAACACGGAGGACGGCGCCAAGCTCTACGACGTCTGCCCGCACGTCAGCGACTCCGTACGTGGGGGGCGGGGTGTTGTGTCCCTTGGACCCCCGGGCCATGCGGGGTCGAGGGCCTCTGAGCACAGGGCTCGGAGCCAGCCCGGGCTGCTCGCCGCTGCTCGGCGAGGTGGCTCCCCAGAAAGGGGCAGAAGGTGTTAGAACTCCCCGTTACCTTTTGTTGACTGGGACCTCGTCTTTTAAAATCTCCCCGTGGTCCCGGGACGAGTGCGGCCTTTTAGTGCGGCTGGCACCCAGAGCACACGCCTGCACACGGGTGTGCGCGCCTGTCAGAACGAAACGAGTCAGACAGGGGTGCCGCGAGGCTCCCGGTGGCGAGCACGCACCCTAGGGTGCAGAGGGGCTGCTCCGGGGCCTCGGCGTGTTCCGGGGAACGTGGAGGCCTGTGATGGGGCAGGCGGGGGCGGGGGCCGAGGGGGCGTGGAAACCCCCCCCAGGGGGCACCGCCCACAAGGACGGCCCTCTGGCTCCACCTCCCGCAGGGTCTCTTCTTCGATGACTCCTACGGCTTCTACCCGGGCCAGGTGCTCATCGGCCCCGCCAAGATCTTCTCCAGTGTCCAGTGGCTGTCGGGGGTCAAGCCTGTGCTCAGCACCAAGAGCAAGTTCCGGGTCGTGGTGGAAGAGGTGGGGCCTGGGGGCCGGGACCGCAGCCTCCATGCCCCGGAGCGGAGCTGCTGCCCACCCCATCCTTGCCTGCTCTGAGAGCTAAGCCCCACTCGCTGGCCTCTGGGCCCTCTTATCTGAAAGGGCTTTGAGGATAAGGGGAACCCAGGCCGTGGTCACGGAGTGACCAGTAGGCAGATGCCCCCCAGACGGGCCCACCCAGGCTGAGCAAGGCTGGGGAGTGCTGCGTAGCAGGTCCGCTGGGCCCTGACTGGTGGGGAGGAGGTGACAGGGACCCCTGGTGGGGCCACAGTGGCAGGCGGGGTCTGCTCAGGGGTGTTTGCACTTGGGGCAACGTAGGAAGACGGCTTCCTGCCCTGGAGGCTGGGTGGGCTCCGGGCAGCTGCTGGAGAGAGCGCAGTTAGCGCCTCCTGAGCGCGGCCCTGTGCCGCCCCCCGCCCCAGGTGCAGGTTGTGGAACTGAAGGTCACGTGGATCACCAAGAGCTTCTGTCCAGGGGGCACGGACAGCGTCAGCCCCCCGCCCTCTGTCATCACCCAGGAAAACCTAGGCAGGTGAGAGGCCCCGGCGTGCCACCCACCCCACAGCCCCCGGGACGGGCCCTGAGCAGGTGTGCGGACCCCAGTGGCTGGGGTGGGGGGCTGAAAACTGCCGGCCCAGCCCCCGTGTCTCCCGCCCTACACACCCCGCAGGGTGAAGCGTCTCGGCTGCTTTGACCATGCGCAGCGGCAGCTGGGGGAGCGCTGCCTGTTTGTCTTCCCGGCCAAGGTAGAGCTGGCCAAGATTGCCTGTGAATGCCCCGACAAACACTGCGCCCCGGGGGAGGGCTCCATGGCCAAGAAGGTACGTCCTCGGGGCTGGGGGCGGTGGGCGAGTGAGGAACCGGCCCGGAGCGGTGCTCGCGGCCGGGAAGGACGGTCTGTGCTCCGGGCCTTGGGGGGCGGCCCTGGTGACCCTTGCAGGCCGCTTAGGTGTGTATGGCTGCCACCCACCCCCAGACCGAGCGGCCCCGCCCGCCGCAGCTCCCTCCCGCCGCTCTGCCCCTGCAGGTGAAGCGCCTGTTGAAGAAGCAGGTCGTGAGGATCATGTCCTGCTCCCCGGATGCGCAGTGCCCCAGGGACCACTCGGCGGAGGACCCGGGCAAGAAAGGGGGGGCCGGAGCAAAGAGCGAAACGGGGTCCGCCAGCCCCGAGGGGACTCCCGACGGGTCCCCCAGCCCGGTGGAGATGCAGGACGAGGGCCCGGAGGAGGCCCCGGAGGCGGGCGAGCAGCTGCCCCCCTTTCTGCTGAAGGAGGGCGGGGACGACAGGCTGCACTCGGCCGAGCAGGACGCGGACGACGAGGCTGCCGATGACACGGACGACACCAGCTCAGTCACCTCCTCCGCCAGCTCCACCACTTCCTCCCAGAGCGGCAGCGGCACCAGTCGCAAAAAGAGCATCCCCTTGTCCATCAAGAACTTAAAGCGAAAACACAAGAGGAAGAAGAATAAAATCACCCGGGACTTCAAGCCGGGGGACAGGTACGCCCGGGGGACGCCCTCCCTCCTGGCTGAGTGTCCAGCCCGAGCCCACCCACTTGGGCTCGGGTGCACATGCACACTCGGGCTCGCACGCACACTCGGGCTTGCACGCACACTCAGGCTCGCACTCACACGGTGTGCAGCCCGTAGAGGCTCCGGGGCCCCAGCTGAGACAATGTGGGTGCCGGGGGTTGGCCCAGGGGAGAGGGGAGATCTGGGAGTAAGGCAGAGGATGGGACAGTGGCTTGACCCCAGGTCCGCCTCTGGGACCCCATTCACTTGAGTTTGCCCAGCCGGGGCTGTGCGGTTCTCAGGGGTCGCAGGGCGTGGACACTGGGTGAGCGTCCTCTGGCCCGTTCATCCTCCTCCTTGCCGGAGACTGGGGGTTTCCGGCCAGCGGCCCCCCAGGTAGCTCGGGGGGCTGGAGCCCTGGCCTCCAGGGGGCCTTCTGCACGGCCTGGCTCACCGCCCCGCCCCGCCCCGCAGGGTGGCAGTGGAGGTGGTGACCACCATGACCTCCGCGGACGTGATGTGGCAGGACGGCTCCGTGGAGCGCAGCATCCGCTCCAACGACCTCTTCCCGGTGCACCACCTGGACAACAACGAGTTCTGCCCCGGGGACTTCGTGGTGGACAAGCGAGGTAGTGTCGGCTCCGGAAGGCCGTCCCCGCCGAGGGCCTGGGTGGGCCTGGGACAGGGGGACGTGGGTGCCGGGTCAGGAGGAGCCTCGCCTCGCCTTCGAAGGTGGCTGGCTCCTGAAGCCGGGGGAAGGCCTTTCGTATCTGCCAGCCTGGCGGGCGGACCCCTGGGCGCTGGGCCCCGCGAGGCCTGGCGCGTGGTGGGCGGGAGGGCGATGCGGGTGGCGCCAGCAGGGCTGCGCAGCCAGCCGCGTGCTCTCGCTCCCCAGTCCAGAGCTGTCCCGACCCCGCCGTCTACGGCGTGGTGCAGTCTGGGGACCACGTGGGCCGCACCTGCGTGGTGAAGTGGTTCAAGCTGCGGCCCAGCGGGGACGATGTGGAGGTGAGCGTGGGGCCCTGCGTCCTCCCTCGGGCCGGGCTCCGGGGCCGGGTGTGGGCCCCGGGCTCACGGGCACCCCTCCCCCGCCCTAGCTGATCGGAGAGGAGGAGGACGTGAGCGTTTACGACATCGCCGACCACCCGGACTTCCGGTTTCGCACCACGGACATCGTCATCCGCATTGGCAACGCTGAGGACGGGGCTCCTCACAAGGAGGACGAGGTTTGTGCCCGCCCCAGTTCCCGTTCCCACAGCCGCCCCGCCCCCCACCCCCGCCGGTGTAGCAGTTGCAGTGCCAGGGGCAGCCACCAGGTGGCTCCAGGAGACCAGACCTACAAGTCCGCTGCCTCACCCCCAGCTGCCACTCAGCCTGGCCGCCTGCACAGGGGCACGCCTGCCTGCCGAGGCCAGACTGCACTCCCACAGCTGCTCCCGGAGCCCCGCTGGTTGTAGTTACCAGGAAAGCCCTGTTCCTTCCCCTGAGCGCCTCGGGCGGGCGTGCCGCTGACTGGTGCAGGGATGCAGGACAGGCCTGGGGAGGCTGCATCTGAACTGGCCTTGGAGAACAGGCGGGAAAGTGGGGCGGGGTCGGGCAGGCTGCAGCGGAGGAAGAGCAGGCAGGAGAGTCCTGAGGCTGGAGCCCCACCCGAGAGGGACAGGAAGCCTGGAGCGGCCAGAACGCTGCGAGAAGGAGGGAGTTAGTGGGCGTCACGTACCCGGCGGCCGGGTGGCATGGGAGCTCAGGGGACGGGGCACGTCGGAGGTGTTCGCACAGGAGGGTCCTACGTTTCGGTTACTCACCGTGGACGCCTCCGGCTGGTGCCCTCATCTCGTTCTCATGGCCACACCCTTGCCACCCACTGCCAGCGTTCCCTGTCGGAGATGCTTTGGCCCTCGCCCCTCCTGGAGGGCCGTGGCCTTGACCCTGACCCTGTCCCATTGTCTGGCAGCCATCAGTCGGCCAGGTGGCCCGCGTGGACGTCAGCAGCAAGGTGGAGGTGGTGTGGGCCGACAACTCCAAGACCATCATCCTGCCCCAGGTAAGGCCTGGTGGAGGCCCACCCCGCGCAGCGTGGTGGTCGGGCTGGGAGCCGCAGCCTGTCCGCAGTCCCGCCCCCACCGTGCAGCCTTCCCGGGTTGCCTGCTGCATGTGGATGTTCACAAACTCCCTGATTGGCCGGGGCCCCTTCTCACCGTGCTGAGGACGTGCAGGTTACTTTTCCTTTAGGCGGTAGGGCTGCCACCCCCTCCAGGCAGCGTCCACAGGACAGTGAGGGGCCCGGCCGGTGGGGCCGGCTGCAGGCTGTCCTCCGTGCGGCTCCTCAGGCCCCACGCCCCTCTCCTGGTGCCCCCATGGGGCAGGGCAGAGGAGCAGCTCGCCCCTCCCTCCCCTCCTCTGGCGTGTTCCCAGTTCCCCATGCTGCTCCCCAGAGGCCCCAGGCCTGCGTCTGCCGGAGGCGGGGCTGGGTTTGCCCCAAAGGCGGACACTGACTGAGCGCACAGTGGGGGGGAGACCCATCAGCTGGGGCTCCGGGGGCTGCTGCTGCTGGGGTGGGGGCCGGCGAAGCCACCTTGCAGAGACAGGGCCGCCTGGCCCGGAGGGGCTGCCCGCAGAGCCCACTGCAGGAGGGGGAAGGGGGTGGCCGGGCCGGGGGCCCGCAGAGCTGGGCTGAGCGGCCCGCACCCGTCTGCCCCCAGCACTTGTACAACATCGAGTCCGAGATCGAGGAGTCGGACTACGACTCGGTGGAAGGCAGCACCAGTGGGGCATCCTCCGACGAGTGGGAGGACGACAGCGACAGCTGGGAGACGGACAACGGGCTGGTGGAGGACGAGCACCCCAAGATAGAGGAGCCCCCGGTCCCACCACCCGCGGAGCAGCCGGCGGCCCCCGAGGAGGAGAAGGGAGTGGTGATCAGCGAAGAGGCCGCCACGGCCGCCATCCAGGGGGCCGTGGCCATGCCCGCCCCGGTGGCCGGGCTGATGGAGAAGGCGGGCAAGGACGGGCCCCCGAAGAGCTTCCGGGAGCTGAAAGAGGCCATCAAGATCCTGGAGAGCCTGAAGAACATGACCGTGGAGCAGCTGCTGACGGGCTCCCCCACCTCCCCCACGGTGGAGCCCGAGAAGCCGACTCGGGAGAAGAAGTTTCTGGACGACATCAAGAAGCTGCAGGAGAACCTCAAGAAGACCCTGGACAACGTGGCCATCGCAGAGGAGGAGAAGATGGAGGCCCTGCCGGACGCGGAGCGCAAGGAGGACAGGCCCGAGGCGCAGTCCCCGGTCAAGGCCGAGTGGCCCAGCGAGACCCCGGTGCTCTGCCAGCAGTGCGGTGGCAAGCCCGGCGTCACCTTCACCAGCGCCAAGGGCGAGGTCTTCTCGGTGCTCGAGTCCGCACCCTGTGAGTGAGCCCCTTCTGCGTGTGCAGGCCGGGGGTGGGGGGCGCCCCCAGGCAGCCCCACTGCTGCTCCAGGCCGGGGCGGGGACAGGACATCGCCCTGGTGTGGCCCCAGGTCCTGATGCCAGGAGAGGGGGGTGGGACACATGTGGGTGTCCTCCCCCATCTGGGGAGCACCCCTGGCGGCCGCCTTTCTGGACGGAGTGCTCAGGGCCTCACCAGCGGGACTGAACAGCCTCTCTCCCCCTCTAGCAAATCACTCTTTTAAGAAAATCGAGTTCCAGCCTCCGGAAGCCAAGAAGTTCTTCAGCACCGTGCGGAAGGAGATGGCGCTGCTGGCCACCTCGCTGCCCGACGGCATCATGGTCAAGACCTTCGAGGACAGAATGGCAAGTAGCCGGGCGTGGGTGGGCGTGGTGTGTGGTGCGTGCGCCCTGACCCTGCAGCCCATGTAGCGCCCGAGAGGCCGCCCACACTGCCAATGGGGTAGGAAACGGGCTCGGGCAGGCGCGGAGCCGGGTCCGCACCAGGCGGCTCCTTCTCTCTGTCTGGGGGCCGGCTTCACATTACGTAGCTGTTGTCGGGCCTCCTGTTTGAAAAACTAGAAAGTGCCCTGGCTGGCGTAGCTCAGTGGATTGAGCGTGGGCTGCGAACCAAAGCGTCACGGGTTCGATTCCCAGTCAGGGCACATGCCTGGGTTGCAGGCCACGGCCCCCAGCAACCGCACATTGATGTTTCTCTCTTTCTCCTTCCCTTCTCTCTCTAAAAATAAATAAGTAAAATCTTAAAAAAAAAAAAAAAAGACAAAGGAAAAGACAAACTGGAACGTTACAGAAGAAACTGGAGTTGTCTTTGACCCCTGCCCTCAGGGGTCATGACCCGGGAAGTCTGGTTCGTCTTCTCTCGGACACCCTTTACGGTTCCACCTTCCCCGTGCGTCATCGCGCTCACGAACTGTTGTGCGGGATTTCACGTGACTAGCACGTCACTGTACGCGGCGCCTGTAGTTTGCCCTCCCGTTCTGCGGGGTGATTCTGAGAGCCCTGGTCGGCCCACACTGGGCCGGCCCGTGCCTCCTTAGCTCCAGGACAGCCATCCCCCCGTGACAGCGTCACCCCACCTCCTCTGCTGTCTCAGTGGCGGGGCCCAGGGTCCAACTCGTCCAGCCCCAGTCGGTGTCCCTGCGTCTGAGTGCCGGGTTCCAGGAGTGGGCAGGCCCCCTCCACCTCATTTCCCTTCATGTGTTAAATCCTCACCGAGAGGAAGAGGGGGAGAGAGAGACCTCAACTGGTGGCCGCCTGTGCGCCTCCCGAACTGGGGATTGAACCGGCAGCCCAGCTGGGCGTGTCCTGACTGGAAGTCAAACCCACGCCCTTTTCGGTTTCCGGGGCGACGCTCCCACCAACTGAGCCGCACTGGCCGGGGCCTTTGCCTTGTTTATTCAGCAGACCCCTGCGGGGCCCCTGTGGGTGCCAGGCACCCAGCAAGACAGAGAGTCTGACCGAGGCCTCAGCTTGGGGCCAAGGCGCCAGAGACCACGGGCGGGGCCGGGAGCTAGCGTGGGCTGCTGCTCGAAGTTCTCAGTGCTTTCGTCTTTTCTTGGGTGTCAGTGACATTATTTTTGGAAGTTCCAACGTGTCCCAGCTCTGCAGAGGGACGAAGAAAATAGTATTTTTTCCTTTGTTCTGTTTTTTCCAAGTCTCCCTCTGAGGGAAAGGGAAGCCGTATGGGAACCCGAGGCCTGGGAAAACACACGGAGGGGTCCCGGCCCTTGCCGGTTCTCGGGGTCACTGCTCACTGGCCCCGGTGCACACCGGTGGCAGCGGCTCACTGTGGGGACCCACCCTGGGGCTCCGGTCCTCGTGCTGCGTGGGAACCTAGAGGCACGGGCAGCTCGGCCGTCTCCTGACCCGCCGTGTGTGTCGCTTGCCGCTCTGGTCTGGGTCCGGGGCAGCCGTTTTGAGGAATACAACTGTTAAAGCGATGGTTTTTGAGGAATGAAACCTGGAGGGATAAAAACCCGTTTGGAAATCCCCTTGGATGCCTGGCGCTGGAAGGGGCGGAGCCAGTGGGGGGGGGGCGCTCACCTCGGCCGCGGGCGGTGGGCGGAGTCCCAGGGGCGGCTCCTGCGCCCGCAGCGCCCTGCACAACCGCAGAGCAGACCCTGCGCGGAAGTGCCTGCCAACCACGGCCTCCCCCCCCTCCCCCCCAGGACCTCTTCTCAGCCCTGATCAAGGGCCCCACGCGCACCCCCTACGAGGATGGCCTCTACCTGTTCGACATCCAGCTCCCCAACATCTACCCGGCCGTGCCCCCCCACTTCTGCTACCTCTCCCAGTGCAGTGGCCGCCTGAACCCCAACCTGTACGACAACGGGAAGGTGTGCGTCAGCCTCCTGGGCACCTGGATCGGAAAGGTGAGCACCGTGCCGCGCCCCCGGGTGGGGTGGGGTGGGGGCAGCCCTCCGGGGTGGGGTCGGGGACGGAGCTGACCGTGCCGTCTGTGTTTCAGGGGACAGAGAGGTGGACGAGCAAGTCCAGCCTTCTCCAGGTGCTCATCTCCATTCAAGGTACTGTGGGCGGGGCTCGGGGTGTCCCTGCCTGCGGGTCTGGCCTCGCCCTCGGGGGGGTGGGGGTCGTCGGGGGTCCTGACCGCTGCGGCTCCGCCCCCGCAGGCCTGATCCTGGTCAACGAGCCCTACTACAACGAGGCAGGCTTCGACAGCGACCGGGGGCTGCAGGAGGGCTACGAGAACAGCCGCTGCTACAACGAGATGGCGCTGATCCGCGTGGTGCAGTCCATGACGCAGCTGGTGCGGCGGCCGCCCGAGGTCTTCCAGCAGGAGATCCGGCAGCACTTCCGCGCCGGCGGCTGGCGGCTGGTGAGGCGCATCGAGTCCTGGCTGGAGACCCACGCCCTGCTGGAGAGGGCCCAGGCGGTGCCCGGCGGGGCCTCCAAGGACAGCGGCTCTGCGGCGGCCGAGCTCCCGGACGGCGGTGAGGCGGAACCTGAGGACGGCAGGCTGGCCGCCGGCGAGGCCTCCCAGGGCTCGGACTCCGAGGGCGGCGCCCAGGGCCCGGCCGCGGCCGGCAGGGACCACACAGACCAGACCTCGGAGGCGGGGCCGGATGCCTCGGTGCCGCCCAGCGTCAAACCAAAGAAGCGAAGAAAGAGCTACCGGAGCTTCTTGCCCGAGAAGAGCGGCTACCCTGACATCGGCTTCCCCCTCTTCCCGCTCTCCAAGGGGTTCATCAAGAGCGTGCGGGGCGTCCTGGCGCAGTTCCGGGCCGCGCTGGCCGAGGCGGGCATGCCCGAGTGCGCAGACGACAAGTAGCCGCAGGCCCTGTGGGACGGAGCGTCGCGGTGGGAGGGGCCGCAGCTGCGTGCGCGCTCCCTCCCCTGGACCCGCCCCTCTTCCCACTCTCTCCTCTGTCCCCGACGCAAGCCCCCCACGGCCCCAGCTTCCCAAGGAGAGTGTGATGCTGACGTGCAGGAAGTTTTTGGAGATGCTGCCACTTCTGTTCCGAAGTAGTCTCTTAGCAGGCGAGCCCCCGTGCAAAGCCAGCCTGAACCCCGTGGCTGATTGTCCACTTGCCACCACGGGCAACACGTCCCGCGCTTGCCCCCTTGCCGTCTCCATCTCGGGTCGGAGGTGGGGTTCCCAAGGGCCTGGCGCGGCGCCCGGCGCCCCGGGGCTGTGCAGAGCAGCAGCAGGTGCTGAGCATGCAGTGCGGACTGCCCCGGCGCGTTCCCTCGTCCCTGCCGCCCTCTCCAGTGCCATGGTAGCTTCCCCGGGTCCCAGGCCAGGGCCCCCAGGCCCTCCCTTGTCCCCTGGCGTCAGCGTACTCTCCTGGGAGCTGCGTCCGAGTCTGCCGGCTTCGGGCTCTGCTCTGGCGCAGTCGCCGCAGGACCACCCTCAGGCCTGTCGAACTTGCGCCCGCAGAGACCAGGCTGGGCTCAGGGCGACACGCGGAAGAGGTGGTGGCCCTCGCACGCTGACGCGGGGCGAGGACCGGGTTGCTGCTGGGGAAGAACAACTGTAGGTGCCTTGCTCTTCTGTCCCACGGGGCCGGGTGGGTAGTCCTGGCTCCGCGGCCTCGAGCGTCTCCTCCCTGCCCCACCCAGCCCGGCCCAGGACCCCGGGGGCGGGGGCGGGGGCAGCGGCACATCCAGGGCCTTGGCACGTGTGCGGGGGTCTCTCCCACGGGCTCTGTCCCTCCCACCGTCAAATGCTCATTCTGGGAGGCGGCCTGTAGCTCACGGTACGGAGCCGGCCCTCTCCCCCACGAGATCAAGGCCGCCTGTCAGCCCTTTGCTTACCAACTCTGCGGGCTCCGTCTAGGGGGGGGAGAGGTGGCTGGGGGAGGGGGTCCGCACCTTTGCAGAGACAGGCCCCGAGGTTTACAAGTTTTCTAAGCTTTTGATAATGTGAAGCTCCAGGGTAAGAGGATGCTGTGAGCACACTGCAGGTATGTAATTTTTGGTGTACGTATGTAATATTTAAGGTTGAAAGAAAATAAATTTCAGAAGCAAAGATATTAACTCTTACTAGAAAAAAAACAAAAAAAAGAAGCCAAAGCATGATGCGTCTTGTCCGCCTTAAGCTGGCTCCTCGCCCGAGCGGCACCATTTCCACGCAGCGGGCAGCGGCCGCAGGGAAGGACGCGCCGGGCCCGGCCACGACACCTGGGCCGAGCCGGGGCCCCGCGGGAGGAGCTCCCGGAGTGGCCGGTGGGGCCGCGCTTCCCAGGGCCCCGCCCCCGTGGAGATGTGAATGCCTCCTGCTTAAGAAATCTGTACAAAGTGCTGTGTGATTAAACCTTTTTTTTACTTGCATTTTTTTTTTGTTTGGCTCATTACAATGTACAAAACAGACAAGGTGGCACCATTAAACCTGCCTCTGCCATTCACCTGGGCTCTGTGGCCTTTCTTCTCCAGGCACCTCCCACGCCCTCCCCCGGGGTGGGGGGGAGGCCCTCAGAGGTGCCCACCACGCTTCCCTGACACCCACCTTTCCCGCCGTGGGGTTCACAGAGGCCCGGAGGTCAGGGCCTCGGGGCTCGGTGGGTCAGTGTCCCCCCTGTCTCTGGGCAGGGCTGTCGGTTCTTCAAGAGCCTGTTTTTAGCTGCGTTGGCCACCTGCCCGATGCGGGGGAGGTGACCCGGAGCACCTGGCCTGGGCTGAGAGCCAGAGTGTCGGCCCGGTGTGGGAGCCTGGCATCTGCCCCTCCCCGCTGCTGCGTTTTAACCGGTGCCCAACAGCCGCCCACCAGGGTGGGGCAGGATGAGGCGGGGGCGCCCAGGAGGGGCTGGCGCCTGCCACTCAGGCTTCTGTCGGTCCTCGCATTTTCCCGACGCCTCTCCCCTGGGGCGCTCTCCTTTCCTGCAGAGGTGGGCCGGCAGTGCAGTCCCAGGTGAGGAAGCCGCACTGGCTCGGAGCCTGCCCTCCCGTGTGTCGGGTGAGGCAGGTGGCTGGGCTCCTTGGCTTCTGGGCCGAAGGGCGTGTCCTTGCAGGGCAGGGCCCCACCCTCTACAAAAGCAGCCGTGGTCCCGTACCCGTCACCAAAATGACCGGGCAACCCAGGAGGCACCACTGGGCATCAATGCAAATACTAGGTAGAGCCCAGCAGGAGCAAGGCGCCACTGCCCCCACCTCAACCCCTAGGATAAGACCAGTTAGGCTGGGAACGTCACTTTATTCGGATCTGATTCGCGGGGGCGTGGCTTCCACGTCACAGTGGGGCCCGACTGACCGGCTGCTGCTTCTGAGGCACAGCCTCTGCCCAGCCTTCCACAGGAGTCTTCCCCTTCCTGCGCTTCCTCTTTCCCAGGGGAGCTGGGGCGGAACTGGGGCCAGCCCTCTGGTCTGGGGTGGGGAGGAGGGAGGCCCCGAGCTCCTCGGATTTCACTGGGTAGACAGACAAAGGCACAGCCAGGCCCAAGGAGTCACAAGGAAACCTCCGGAGGCGGTGTCTGCTGAGGCTTCCGGCTGGGTGGCGGCCACTGCGGCTCTGGAGCAGGTGAGGGGTCCCCGCGGCCACTGACCATCCAGATGTAGTTGGGGTGCACCTGGCCCTGCACAGCCTCGCTGACCATCCTCTCCCCGTCCACGGCAAACATCCCCTTCCCGTCCTTGGGCTCCAGGCGGAAGGCCACCACGGGCACGTACACCAAGTAGGGGCAGTTGTACTCCATGTGCCTGCCCTTCTCCATGGCCAGGAAGAGGCGCAGCAGCGTGGCCCGAGACACCCCTGCCCGCACGTAGAACAGGTGCATGGCGCCGGCCACACGGTGGCCCATGGGCGCGACAAACATCTCGCTGCCCAGGTGCGAGTGCAGCTGCACCAGCACCAGCACGAAGTCCTGCTCCGGCACCACCGTCCAGTGAGCGGGCACCGGCTCCTCCAGCGGCACGAGGTGGGCGTCCACAGGGCCCTGCCGGTCCTGCCGGTCCAGAGGAGGGGAGGCGGCGGGCGCCTTGGAGACCGCCTGCTCTACGGGGAGGTAGGCCAGCCTGCCCCGGTAGACGCGCAGGGTGACCAGGCGCAGGAGGGTGCCCAGCGTGAAGCGCATCTCCCCGAGGCGCCGGAACTTCTCGCTCTCGATGTCCACGTCGGCGACGAAGCCCCAGGCCAGGCTGAGCATGGAGAAGATGCGCAGCCCCGAGCGCGTCCGCAGGGACAGCAGGCTCACGGGCGCCAGCTGCCGGCGGCACAGCAGCAGCGTGCAGTTGTTGAGGAGGGCCTCGTCCGTCACCTGCTCGTAGCTGCGGGGGAGAAGGGCCGCATGCACCCTCCCCTTCCGCCTCCGAGGGAGTGTGGCCCCGCAAGCCACCCTGGGCCCCTCGGGAGATGGAGCGGACAGAGGCAGCCAGCTGGCCTCGCTGGGAAGATGAGCCAGAGCCGAGGGCAGAAGCTCCGGAAAAGACGGAACGGGAGTTACGCCAGCAAATGGGAATTCCTAAAAACCAGGCAGGCCAGGAGCCCTGGCTGGTGTGACTCAGTGGACTGAGGGCTGGCCTCCAAACCAAAGGGTCACCGGTTCAATTCCCAGTCAGGGTACATGTCTGGGTTGTGGGCCAGGTCCCCCAGTAGGGGGCGTTGGAGGAGCAACCCACACATTGATGTTTCCCTCTTTCGCCTCCCGCCTGCCCCGCGCCTCCGTCTAAATATTGAAAAATAAAAAATAAAAACCAGGCCGTGAGGCGGCCCTGAGGGCAAACTGAGGCCCGCCCCACCCCGGGTTCTCACCCAGCGTAGTGGTTCAAAGAGGCGGCCAACGCGTTGCCAGAGCCAGCTGGGAGGCTACACAGAGGCTTCCGGATGGCGGTCTCCCAGTCAGGCCGCTCCATGAGCCCGTTCACCACCTGTGGGAGCACGGGTGGCCTCAGCTTGGTAACGCCCCGACCCCAGCGGGCCACGGGCGCCCAGGCTCCTGGCGCAGGCCTCACCTCGTGCATCAGCCCGTCTCCAGACATGACCACCAGCGCGTCCCAGCGTCCCAGCTCCTCGGCCCGCACCAGCTCCCGGGCGTGGTTCTGCCGTTCTTCGATGGCGCGGGGGCGGGACAGAGTGGTTTTGGAGGAGGGCGTCCCTGGTGGTGGATGCCCCTCCCTGCACCGCCTTCCTCCCGCACCAGCCCCCACAAGGTCCTCACCAGTGAGCATAAGCCTGAAGGAGACATCGGCCTGGGCCAGCAGGGGCTGCACGTGGCTCCGGAAGAGCTGCAGGGCCTTGCCTTTGCCGCCGCGTGGGTTGAGCAGCACCAGTACGAGGCAGGGCCGCGGGAGCTGCTTCTGGGGGCCCCGGGCTGCAAAACCCAAACCCGAAAAGGCCGTGTCACCAACCGGCCACTAGGGGGCGCAGGGCCACAACAGGGGAACTGGGGTGGAAACTCGTGCTGGGAATACCGGGGTAATAGATGCAGGAGAGCCTGGCCAGAGGCAGCGGTCTCCAGCAGGGGCCTCCGGCGGGGACCGGGGCCCTCTCGACACCCCCGTCCTTGGTTCAGGCCCAGCCCGTTTCGGGACTCGTCGGGGACAGCGTGTCTCTCCAGCGTCCCCAGTCCCTCTCTTCGTCCAGCTGACCCTGGCCAGGGAGAGAAAGGATCCCTCTATAGCCCTTCCAGACCGGCCCCCACAAACCTGGATCCATAACCTTGACTCCCGGCGTCCGCTGGCTAGGGCTCCCCAGCGCTCCCGGGGCGCTGCCCTCGGCGGTGACTCCTGCCTTCAGCTTCTTATCGGTGCAGCCCAGGCGGGCGTCGCGGTACGGGCTGTGGGGCTCGCCTTCCCCGCCCGGAACCCGGGCCGTGGGGGTACCTGCATCATTCCCTCCGGTTGCCGAATCTGAGGGAGAGGAGACAACGCTGGCGCAGTCCGGAGCGGCTCCGCGAGGTGAAGTGCGCCCAGCCAGACACTCGGACCGCGCGCGCGCGCGGGGAGCAGCGTGCTCGGACATCGCCGGACGCTCCAGCGTGGGGACTTAGTTTTCGGCGAGGTCCAGAAAGCAAGGCCGGGTGACGACACCAAGGGCGCCCCCGTCCTGGAACTGAGCTGGAGTGGCGAAGGGTCTCTTCCTGGGGCCTGGGTTCCGGCCAGACGGATGAGTCAGAGCCCCGTGGCACTTTCCCCGTCGGACCAGCCCCTCACCCCCTCCCAGGGGCTGCCCGGGGGGGGCCGGTTGCGTAAAAATCCCAGAACTGGAGCGGACACTGCGGGGCATGAAGTTTGGGGCGAGAGATCCGAGCCCCAAGCCATCCGGTAGCCGGGATCGCGCTGTGACTGAGCCCAAGCCCGGCCGCCAGCGGCCGCCTCCTTCAGCCGAGTGCCGAGTGGGCGCGGAGGCCTCGCGGTGCGTGGCCCAGTTTTCCGGGCGGCCCAGGAGCCACGAGACGAGAAGGGGCACGGCGGCCGGCCGGCCGGCCCTACCCAGTCTGTCCGGTTTGCTGGGGAGGCGCCACCTCGGTTCCCTGCAGTGGCTTAGGGCGGGACGCAGCTCGTCCTGGGCTCGGCCCCGCGTCTGAGCCACACACGCCTACTCCCCGGCTTCGAGGCCTCGGGCCGCAAACTTTTTGTCAACTTGGCTGCCCCTCGCCGCGGTGCGTGGAGGCGCAGAGGCTCCGCGCCCGTCCTGGCCACGCCCCGTACTCCGCACGCCGGAGGGGGTGGAACCCGCACCGGCGCGCGGCTGGGGCGCGCCCGTCCCCGGCCTCACCGTGTCGCTTCTCGTGCTGTCCGAGCCCGCGGCTCGGCAGCCACCAAGCCCTCGGCTGGGTCCCGGGGCGTGACTACGTGCCCCCGCTGCCCGGCAAAACGGTGGCGCCGCAGCCTGGTCTGGGGAGAAGCGAAGGCAGTCCGCGAGGCGTGGAGCCCAGGGCCGGGTCACGAGCAGCGCGCCGCGAACGCAGCGTTCCGGACGCGTGAAGGTGAACGCGCAGCGCAGGCCCCGTGCGAACTCGCGGCCGCGCCCAAAGCCACAGCTGCACGCGACAGGGTGCCGGGTGCCCGAGTCTCGTTGCTCGGGGCAGACACTCGGCTGTCCCTGGAGGCTGAGACCTCGCTCCCCCGGGTCTTCCCCCTTCACGAGCCCAGCTCCAGCCCCCCCCCGCCCCCGGAATGCGAGGCCCAGACCGACCCCCGCCTGTACTGGGGCGTCTCACCTACCGCCCCGGTTCTCCCCCACACGGTTATTTTTAGCTTCCTGCCGCTGCAGCAACCACCCTGCCCGAAGCGGCCGAGAGCTTCCTCCTGGGGAGAGCCGGAGACCCGCTGGGAGCTGAGGTCCGGGGGAGGAGTCCTTCTCAAGAACCTCAAAAGTTGGACCCTTTCCCCCAGAGGACACTATCGAGGCTCGGCTCATCTGGGCCAAAGAAGCTGCCCGTACCGCTGGCGATCAGGCCCGCGGCCCCTCGCCACCCCGAGGGGAGCCCGGCAGTGTAAACAGGCCTAGGGCCTGGGAGAGCCCAGCAGCGGGGGCGTGACCTCCGCTCCCCGCCCCCCACGAGCTCAGCCATCAGATGCATAAGTGCCTGGGAGTTTTCACTTCAGCGGAGCCACGCGGGGACGCGTCGTGTTAGTGAGTGTGGTATATACAACCCCGGACGCACGGGTCCGCGACCAGCACGAGTTAAATCCCGGAGCGGGGTGGGGGCGGGGCGGCTGTTTGCGGAGACCCCGAGGAAGAAGTTTCTCAAAGCAGACCAGGTAGGGCCGAAGTTAGAAAAAACAAACCCCTTAGGGGTCGGAGGTGGGTCGCGCGCCCACACCCGCCCCCACTCGCCCCCCCCACACCTCTCCGCACCGCCCCATAAACTAGGGAAGAGGCAGGTGTGGTCGGGGTCGGTAACTCGCACACGCCTCCGTGGCGTGTTTCCCCACATGTGAGGGGCGGGGCCCGAGGGTTGCGGGGTAGGCGGGAGCTCGGCGGGGCTGCGCGGTCCCGGGGCCTCGCGCGCTTCGCGGGGGTGCGCGTCGCCGCCCCGTGCCGCCCCGGGCATTCCTGGCTGGGTCCTGAGCGTCCCAAGCGCATTCCGGGAAGGTGACTCAGAGACGTGCTCACCGACCGAGAAACCCCGAAACTAAGGACGAGGGGAAGGACCTGGGCGTCGTCACTCTCCTGCAGCGCCGCGGCGCGCGTCCGCAAGGTCCACTGTAGACGCTCTCGGTCCCCGCCCCCCACCCCCGCCGGGGAATCGGAGCGAGTGGGGGGGCGCGCTGCGGCAGCGGTGCAGCGGTCCCGCAAGGCGGTGGCTCCGCGCGCAGGAGCCGGGAGCCAGGCCCCGCCCTCCTATCCCCTTCCTACCTCTCCCCACCCTCCGCTCCAGCAGGGGTCGGGAGTCCAGGCTTCCGTGCCCAGGGGGCGCAGGGCGCGGGGTGGTGCTCCCTGAGGCCGCAACCTTGGAGAGAAGTGGCTGTGCACGCGGCTGGGGCGTCCTCCCTTTCATTCTCCCTTGCTCGAGAGGGCACTCGCATCAGGCCCGAAAAGCTGCCGCCTTAAACCTTGGGGTCTGATGAGAAACTGAGGCACTGGGAAGGGAAGACACGGCTGTGCCCGAGTCCGCGGTGAGAACGTCTGCCTGCCTCGGGGAGTTCGCTTCCTGCCGGGGCCACTAGAGTCTCGGGCCGGGTTGGGGTGGGGTTGACTGGAAACCCAGCGAGGGAGGGGAGGCGGGGCGCCTGCTGGGTTCTTTACCCAGCGGGGGGCGGGGGCGCCCAGTGGGAGGGAGGTGAAGCTCTCTGGCCCAGGCTCTGACCCCACACAATGGCCTCTCTGTCCTCCCTGCCGCCTCTCCCCTGCCCCCCTCACCTCGGGTCTTTGCTCGGGCTCCCTGGTTCTTGTCATTCACCTTCCCCCTCCGCGGCTGCCCCAGCCCCTCTGTAAAGAAGTCCGTCTCAACTCCGGAAACTCACCCATCAGTATCCCTGGCCCCAGCCGACAGGACAGCACGGGGCCAGAGCGAGAAGCCTGTCCCTTTGACAGCTGGGGGAACTGAAACCCTGAGAGGTGAAGGGTCGGTGCCAACGGCCTCGCCAGTTGCCAGCAGGGCTGAGAGGCAAACCCAGGAGGCCTGCCCCCCAGCCTGGGAGGCTGAGCCTCCCCCCGGATTCCCACTGGTGTTGGAGTGTCCGTCGGCCTGGTGGAGATTCCACGGAGCTGCCCCCCATAACCCGGCCGCTCAGCCTTCCCGAGAAAGAGGAAGTGTCTTCAAAGACCTTCCAGGCTTCATCCCGTCCCCCCGGCTTCCAAGGAAGCAACCAGCCGTGGCCGCTGTGCCTGGCCAGGCTCACCAGGGGCCTGGCATCAGGTTTGATCCGACCTGATCACCAGCCCAGAGCTTGGCTCGCAGGTAATACCGGTCCGACAGGTGGAAGCAACTGCCTCTCCGTCTCCCCCAGCGCTGCCCCCCAACCCCAGTTCCCGCTGTGGGCAGCCTCCCCAGCTCTCTGGGAACTTGGAGCCAAGGCGGCCAGATGGCGAATGACTTGGTGGTATTAGGAGAGGATTCCTGCCCCCTTTCTCCCTTCCCTGACGGTACCTTCCCGGGGAGGCTGCAGCCTCCGAGCTGACCTGCAGGGCCTCCCGGCCTCCCTGGGTCTCAAGTGCCTTCTGCCTGGATGACTGCACGGGCAGGGGGGGAAGGGAGGAGTCCGGCCCTGCAGACTCCTGGAGACTCTTCTAGGACAGCCCCAGGTATAGCGGGCCGCTCTGGAAGTTCCCTGCCTGCCGGTGGCTGTCCCAGGCCTGGGGCGGTGGGGTCTGCCTCGTGTGGGGGTCCGGGAGACCAGGCAGCTCCTCACGGGCGTGGTGGGTGGTTTGAGGTCCACTCTCCAGGTGGCCTCCTTGTTCAAGTGTGTGTCCAGGCTGAGGCTGGGAACCTAGGTCCCGTCTGCCCGCGGGTTCTGCCTTATACACAGGCCCTCTGCTGCAGCCCCCCGGGGCCGGCCCTGGCCACCCGTCAGGGCAATGAACTCCCGGGGCGCTCTGAGCATGAAAGGGTGGAGGGCCACCCCACTCCACTGCCCACGGCGGTTGCCTGCCCAGCATCTACCTGAAAGCGAGGTGCTTGTTTCCTAGGGTCGGGTCGTGGTAACAAAGGTGCCTTAACAGACACTGTGTCCCAGTGTGGAGACCACAAGACCAAGGTCAAGGGGTCGGCCACCGGGGAGGCTCCTTCTGAGGCTTGGGGGCGCATCTGTCCCCTCCCAAGCGTCTGCCCCAGCTTCTGGTGGTGGCCAGCAGGCTCCGGGGTTCCTTAGCTTGTCGATGTATCTCCCCACCTCCGCCCTCACCTTCACGCGGGCCCCTGCCCCGAAGATTTGGCTGAGATTTGTTCTTTGACGTCCAGCATTGTCTTCCGTGGGCACGTTCTTTTCCAAGTCTGAGTCCTCGGGGAGGGACGCCAGTGTGAGTTAATGCATCACGTTTTAAGCCAAAAAAAAAAATATTACAACAATATAGGTGTCTGGGGAAAGGGAGGTAGAGAATGCTCCCGTGGGTGTCAGAGGAAAGGGGGGTCTGGAGCCGGACCCCCTCCCCGCGCTGGCGGTCACGCCTGCTGCCAGGAGCTGTGGATGGACGCCAGCACTGGACTCTCCCTGGCCAGGGCCTCACGCCCTCCACTTTCAGATCTTAGCTCGTACGGTGGCTGCTTAGGGCACATTTGACTTCCGAGCTCGTAGGTTTGTCCCCCAGTCCTTGGAAGAACAGGTCGGAGTGTCGCGTTGGTATATTAGGTCCCTGTCGCAGGAATTTACTGTGTCACAGTTCTGAAGGCCAAGTTTGAACCGGAGCAGCAGGGCCGTGTTCCCTCGCCTGTTCTAGATTCTGGAGGGCACCCTCGCGCTGGGCTCGGACCCCTTCCTTCCCCTCCAGAGCAGACAGCAAAGCGTCCTCAAATCTCCGTGTGACTTCTGCTTCTGTTCTCGTGCCTTCTCTGACTCTGACCTCCCTGCCTTCCTCTTGTAGCCCGCCCCCCACTCCCCACCCCTCCTGTGATTACGCGGGGCCCACCCAAACAACCCAGGATAATCTCCCCATCATCTCAAGAGCCTTCACCTCGGGGGCACATAGGAGGGGGTGAAGGGGGCATACATGGTGATGCAAAGAAACTTGACTTGGGGTGGTGAACCCACAATACAACATGCAGATGATGTGTTATAATAGAACCGCACCCCGATTACGTGATATAATTTTATTAACAAATGTCACCTCCACAGATTCAATTTTTTAAAAAAGACCCTTAAATTTTTAAAGATTTTATTTATTTTCAGAGAGGGAAGGGAGGGAGAAAGAGAGAGAGAAACATCAATGTGCGGTTGCTGGGGGTCATGGCCTGCAACCCAGGCATGTACCCTGACAGGGAATCGAACCTGCGACACTTTGGTTCGCAGCCCGCGCTCAATCCACTGAGCTACGCCAGCCAGGGCTTAAAAAGACCCTTAATTTAATCGCAGCTGCAAAGTTCCTTTTGCCTTATGAGGGGACATAGGCACCTTTGGTTCGGGGATTATGACGTGGACGTCTTGGATACCGTCGAGCTGCCAGCCGAGGATGGGAGGGACAGAGTCTGGGGACTGTGTCTTTGGCTACAGAACCTTCTTTGTCACATTCCCCAGCTCCCCAGCACGACCGAGCGAGCACGACCAGGAGCTTGCCGCCCCCCAAATGAGCGTCTGCCGTGCGGGGCTGGAAATATGCCTCTTGCCGGGACTGGCACATGAGTCTCTGGATTCCGTGCTCTCTGGCTCCACGGGCAGAGTTTCCTACAAAGCAAACCGGTTTCCATTTTTAAAAAGTGCCCAAGAGAGAGAAACTGACGTCCTTGCTACAATAGTTGCAGGATGACAGCGGGTTGACTTTTCACCTGAGGAAGGGGTGGGGAGCCGGCCGGCCCGTCCGCTTTTAGCCTGGCAGAATTTCCCACCTGGCTTTGCAGGAAGGGCTTGTCACCGGGCTGGGCTCCCCTGGGGACCAGACCGAAGCGTGTGACCCTTTCAGATCCTGTCGTGTGACCTCCCAGTGCAGCTGCTCCTGCTCCCCTGTGGTGAGGCTGGGCCCGGCCTGCCACAGGGAGCGACATGTCCCCTGCACGGCCAGGAGGGGACATTCCACAGGCTCCGGCTGACGGCTGACATGGCTCCAGCCTGGTCTCCAGAGCCAGCCCCACATCCCGGACACCGGGGAGCCGGCCGCTACCCCACCCAACTGTGCTTCGTGCTCACCTGCCGGGCAGTTGGTGCAAGTCCTCATTCAGGGAAAGAGAGGCCCCCAGCCATGTGTCTGACCCCCGTGGACAATTCCCAAAAGGACAGCTGGGGGTCAGAAAGAGGCCTGGCAGGTCGACCGTCTGCAGTCCGGGAGCAGGAAGGCCCAGCTGCCTTTGTCTCTGCGCGGCCCGCGGCCCGCGGCCCCCCGAGGGACAGGCATGCATGCAGGTTTCCAGGGGCTTTCTGTTACGCAGTGTTTTTCACTTTCACATCTCTCTAGAGCCGCGTCCTTGGGCCGCTCCCAAAGCAAACAGACAGTGGGCTGGACGCAGCCGCCCGCGGGGCTGTGCCTCCGCGCTAGTGCTCTGGGGCCGCGTGCTCCCACCGGGGTGGAC